AAAAACAAAAAAAAAAAAAAAAAAAAAAAAAAAAAAAAAAAAAAAAAAAAAAAAAAAAAAAAAAAAAAAAAAAAAAACTTCTAAGCAATGATTGAGTTCGAACGTGTCTTGTAAGCGAATTCAGTTTAGATATATACACGGGTGTAAAACACCATAGGTGCGTTTTAGTAAAGTCTAAATTTTATATATATATAAATAATAAATAAATTATACATAAGTTTTATAAAATTATGATTCTGACAGGTTATTTTTGGTTAGTAATTTGCAATACCCAAGCCATGTATACTTTCTATTTTTCTTGAATAAAGCTAAAAAACATTGGGTTTTTTTTTATGGAAAAAAGTTGTTATACAAGTTAAATATATCTTGGTTCACTTAATCAAAAAAATTTTTATCCAAAAATCTATCAATTTACAGCAATTATCATAATTCCTGGGACACCTGATAAAAATTGACCGAACGATTTTTCGGCCGACTCGGTTAAGTTTGTGTTTTGGGAATAATAGATTCAATAAATTGATATATATGAGTGACGACAAGCAGTGTTGGCTGATGGCCTAAGTCATACCATTTTTTAGATTGTGTCCGGTACAAAATAATTAAAAGTTGGATTTATGCTTATGGTAGTTTTAATTTTAAAAAAAGCGACAATAATTGTAAACGATTAAGACTATAATTATAGTTGGATGCTTGCATCGAACATTGCATATTTAACAGCTGAAAATATTTAGCATTAGCGAGAAATATAATTACAAGTTTTGAAAAATAAATTTCCAGTTAATGTACTTTGTGTCAGAGTACCTTGTATCGATTTTTAGATGGGTTGAAGCACTAGAAGTTACATTTGACCTTTAATCAAGTTAATTCTAAATCTATATAATAAACCGTATTTAAAAGTACACTATAGATTAGCTAGATAGTGAATGTAAAGAATTTAATTCGGATCGTTCTTAAATGCTAATATTTTTGAGTGAATTTATTATAGAGAATTTAGAAATTTTTTTTTCGGTTTAAACAGTCTTAATCGTAGCTATGGCAGCATAGCTTATTTACAGCAGGGTCATTCAATTTAGCGGTAGCGGTAGCCGTAACCGTAGTTTGCCGAACGCCATTATAACTCATTGAGATGATTCACCTGCATCACTAATCGTAACCAGTCGTTACCCAGGCAGATTTTTTTGTCACCAAATCAGATTCGAGCTCGCTACCTTACGATCGTGACTCGGGAGTTCTAACCGCTGCGTTATTGATTCGTGGGTCTAATTTTATATTTGCTTTTTTATAATAAATACAGTAATTAATAATATAACTTTATGTCTATAAAAGTATAAAAAATATAAAATAGTAAAATAATTATATTTAAAATTGCATTAAAACAACTGACACCAATTTAGCTACAACACAATAAACATAGAATACGTAATAAGTATTATTTAAAATTTTAATATGCAATAAATTTTTCTAGATATTTTTAATCTTTTAAATATATGTAAAAGATATATAAAAAGATTTGGATAGTATAAAAATATTTGCATAGCATAAAAAAGTTTCGAAATAACGCTTATACAGCGGAAGCTTATATTCTGTTTCAATTTTCTCGTGAGCCAATAAAATAATTTATTCGACATACTGCGGCAAAACTAGTATTTTTTAAAATGCTAAACCTTTTTATAGACAATTTTTTTTTTTTAAAAAAAAAGCTGATCGATAACTTTTAAACACAGGACTGAGCTCTACAAAGTTAACGGTCAGCTTTTTAAAAAAAAAATTCTATAAAGAGTTATACCGATTTGAAATTTGGATATATTTTGAACAGTTATAACTTTCCATAGAAGAATTTTTTTAAAAAATTGACGTTAACTTTGTAGAGCTCAGCCCTATATATAAAGTTATCGGTCTGTTTTTTTAAAAAAATTTGTCTAAAAAATTTTGGCGTTTTAAAAAAAAATACTATATTTAGGCGCAGTATATCAAATACATGAATTTTATTGGCCAACCAGAAAATTGAAACATTTCTCATCGAGTATAGGCTCCCGGCACCATAAGTTCTAACTAGGATAGGTATGCTTTTGGTCAAGTACGCTCTTTTTCGAAAAGAATACCACATATAAAATCGTAATAAAATTTTTTTTGTAAGCATGCATATAGGGCATACTTTTAAATCAGAAAAAACAGAGCATGCACAGGAACCTATCCAAAGTTTTTATGCTTTTGTTCTATCACAAAATCCCGAAAGGACATAATACTGGCTAAATTAATCAGCATTATAACTAATGCCGGCTGACTTTGTCGGTTTCTGGAATCTTTTATTCGGGATTTTGTGGTAAAACCTTATGCTTCCTACCCTAGTTTTAACCTATAGCCTATATTGGACGAATCCTAACTCGATTTTTACACGTAAAAATTTGGGATTTATAGCCATACTCTAAGCTAAATATAGAAGGTGCTCGAAATTACGGCAAAAACAGCATTTTGAGAAATATCATTTGAATTTCTACTTCATCTCAAACTAATGGGTTTTGGTCGCACCACTAACATCAATCGTTAATAAATATATATATATACCTTGCTCGACTAATAGCCACGTTGTTCCAACGATTTGGATCGAATAGAAAATTGGATTTTCGAGCGATTTCATTGTTATCATGAAATCCGAAACACGCAATAACAAGGTCTGCTTCTTGTCCTTGCATTTTGTCAACGGTGTCTATTTTTAAATTATTATTAGATAAATATTTTCCAACTCGAGATTGGATAGCAAGTCGTTGACTATGTTGTGGTGTAACAATAAACAATGATGATTGACTTGACTTATTTGCATCAAAATATGCTGATACTATTTCAGCAACAACATCCGCTTCTAATAATTCTGATTTTTCGCGACTATCGTGATTATTTAACTTTACTAAAGTCATTACTCTTCCAGGAGACAATATCTGCTTGATAACAGGATTTTTTATATTATCATTTTTAAAATCCCACTCCGAAGTTCTTACTGATTCGTAGTCATCACCATATATTTTTTTAAAAAAACTGTTGAGGTTACAATTCTATAAAATAAAATTTCAAGTTATATAAATTCATTAAATAATTTAACAAGATCAAAACAAGTATACCATTCTCCGATTCTCTTTAAGTTGATGCGTGCATGTACCATAGTCATGGTTTTGTCCTTTTTTTTAAAAAAAGTCTCCTCCATTAAAAGAAGGGCCATCCACTTTTCTCATCAAGCACTGTTGAATAGACCCAAAAATAAGTGGGTGATCATCTGAAAAAGCAGGATATGTGTTTTTAATGATGGGTCCAAGTTGCTACAAATAGTACGTTAAGTCCATAATTCATATCGTAATTAAATTAGAAATATTGCATAAATGATAGAATTACCATGTGATCACCAGCAATAATTAACTTCCCATTGGCTTGATTCAAGCATTCCAGAGCGACGCAAGCGTCCGAAACCAGAAGCTAAAAAGTAGTAAACTTTATGTTAAATGTTCATTTATAACATATGGGCTGATTTAAGTAATTTATAAGTAGGGTTTATTTTTTTAAAAATAAACCCTACTTAAATCAGCCCATATGATAAACTTAAGATCTTAATAAGAAATTTCGCATTTACCTGCGATCCTTCATCTATAATCATAATATCACAGTATTTATTCTTATGAATTTTATGCCAAACCCATATTGTACCTCCGACAACGATAGGTTTACCCGCATATTTGATTATCTCTCCTAGTTCTTCAGGCTTATAAAATTTTATGTCATTAGAGTTAGAGGATCTAGAGGAGCTTGTATTCATTCGAAGCAATAAAAAATCATTCATTTTATTATGCTTTTGCTTTTGTACACCAATACGTTTTAACAGGTTATCTATAGCGGTGTTGGTATTAGCCGTGATTCCAATAATAGTATTTTCTTTTTTTTCTACAAGCCAAGGTATTACTTTAGTCGCAAGGAAATGAGTTTTTCCAGATCCCTTAATGGAAAAAGTTACGATTCAATTGAAAAATTAATGAGTCTAATCGTAATAGGCTATTACACGTATACTCTACAGTTGGTTTAGTGCAATTAATAAAAATTATGTACATGTAAACTGAAATCTAAAATTAATATATTAACCAACTATAAGTTGTTACATGTAACAGCCGTTACGAGTACATTTTTTCATAATCAAATATCTATAATTATAATTACAGGTGGACCCCAGACAATTTGTAGCCTTTTTTCTAACAAAGCTTCTGGAATTGTTTTTTGTGATGAAGACATAGAGAAGGAATCGCATTTACTCTTTGGTATCTCTGGAAGTGAAAAACTCCATGCATTTGGATCTTTTAAGATGTCCTAATAAACAGTTCCATAAATTATATAATTCAATATTTTTAATTTAATCATAAATGTGAATTCTTACCAGGAATAAAGAGTTTTCTTGTTTATAAATATCAATAAGCATTTTTAGAATCTTATCCGTATTAAAATCTAAATATCTTTTATATAGACGATACTTGGCATCTTTTCGAAGCTTAAACTCTTTTGGATCACCATTTACATTCTTTTGGAATTTCCCTTTTAAATGGATAGTAATGCCTTTGGAGTTATTATCTACTTTTATGAGAGCAAGAACTGGCAACGGACAGTCAGAGAACTTATTTTTATATTCCATATCAGAAAAGCAAATTGCCTCACAAGTTCCCTTTAAATGTTTATTTAATAGTGAATAAAATTAAGTCATTATAAAATGTATAATTGGTTAACTAATGTATATTGAATCAACGCATTAACATACCTCCTCAGAATCTTCAGTCAAAATGAAGTCTGTGAAACTACTTTTTTCGAGTTTGTGAGATTTTTCATCGCAGACAATGATGAACTGAGCTGTCACTTCTTCATTATAATAATTCTTTTCGACAATATTATCAAATTTTAAGAGAATTCCACATGTAACTTCACCCTGAATAAAATCTTTTAATCGGTCTGCTCTCTTTCGGGAACTTGAAGTAATCGCCTCAAATTGTTTAAAAAAATATAACTTTCCCAAATAATTATTATTAAAATTTTGAACTTTGGAAAAACAAACTTTTGAGGGTAAAAGATTAATATTGATTCTATTTCATTTGTAAATTCCTTAAGGAGGTCGTAATAAGCAATATTAAAAAAATAGCATCTACCTTTAAGACGCAAATTAACCTTTTTTTTATCCACGGATTCCCATGTTGCATATATATATTCGAGATCGATAGATTGTATAGCATCAGGGTCAAGATTTTTTATCTCCTCCAAATTACTATATTTAGGTTTCACCATTTGTTCCCAAACGTCAGTAATTAGATAAAAACCTGGAACATTTATTGCAACATTTTCTCTCAAAGAGTGTTCCAGAACGATTAGTCTAGGAAACTCTCTCCATCCATCGGGAATTTTTGAATTTTCGTTATCATCATTTTTAATGGCCAACAAAAGTGAACAATCCTCAAAAAGATTAAGGAGACATTGCATTGCTTTATGCTGAATGACTTTAGAAATTTTATCAGGATCCAATGTTATTAGTCTAAGCAATGAGTCTTGAATTAGAATTTTTTCCTGCTCAGAATAAACAAATATACATGCTCGAGATTTTTTCCGACATAAATATTTGAATACTTTTTCTAAATGTGTGACAAAACTACTCATCAATGAAATAAATGACGATAGAGTTTCGTCTTTTTCAGATTTCAAATTAGAAAACTTTTTTATGATTTTTCCAGAATCAGTACAAAGTTGTATAGCCCAACCTAAAGGACGTGAAACAAAGGGATCCCAAACCATTGCTATGATCGGTTTTCTGGGGAAAAGTCGCGGTTGGGATACCGATAAACTAAATTGATATGAATATTTATTTATTTATTGAACAGACCATAATATGAAATTAAAATAAATTATTACCTGGGCATTTTCTGGTTTATATTCAAGATACGGTGATTTTTTACGTTTCTCATCATATCTAATAATTTGTTTTACTTTTCTATCAACTTGACAATTGTTTACGTAATTAGCCAAATCTTCAATATCAACTTCATTTTTATTTGGTAGTTTATTTTTCTGAACAGTTAGTTTCAAATATGACGCATCATCCGCGGATAAATATGGGATCATTGCGATTGTCCCTTTTGCATCTTCACGACAATCTTTTACGAATTCACAAGTTTTACAACTATGATTATAATGCCATGGAACTTCTGAAGCTGATACTATTCGTGGAAGTTTTTCACTTAAAAATCGGTCAACTCTAGGAAGCATGAAATCTATAGAAAAAGTTTTTTTTATGCTTTTTATGCCGTCGGTTGACGGTAAAAATATTCCACACATTCGAGAAATCGAAATTCCAGGAATATATTTGGTTATATGATCTAAAAGATAAGCGTATGACGCAACTTGGAACTTAAAAAAATGTGAGAATGAAAAGAAAATTTGATGAAAATCAAATTGCAATTATGAAAATATTATATCATAAAAAATAAAAAGAATCCTAATGCTATGTCAAACCTTATGAGAATAGCGTATTTTTTTTGCTGCTTTAGCATCCCATATCATTAATTGCTTTTCACCGCCTTCCTCGACGACTTGAATGAAGTCAGGAACAAAGGGACTTAGCTTAATAATATTCTTGATTCTTAATTTATCATATAAATCGTCTGGTATCTCGAATTTTAGTTGATATAAAAATTGACCTGCTTGAGCATCTATTAAAATTTTTCGCGCTTCAGCAGGGGATTTGTATTTGTTTTTGTAATCGGTCACATTTTTTAACTCGTTGCGAACTTTTGTTTCAAACTTTATGCCTCTATTTTGTGAGGCTTCCTTTAATGTTGAGTGATCTAGGTTTTGTTTTTTATTAACTTTTCTTTCATAATTTGCTTCTTTATTTTTTTTTGGTTCATAGTTTTTATTCCCGATTTTTCGTAATAATTTTTCACAATTAAATTGAAAATATTCTGAAATATGAGAGATTGCGAACGAAGGGATTTCCAAATTAGATTGCTAAGTCGGAGTTAAGCAACATATTAGCATTTTAATCACTTATTGTTGCGATTTAACACGAGGATTTACTATAATTTTATCAACCTGCTGCATTTTTCCATAAATGTCAAATATCGCAGAAATTTAGTACGTAACTTAAGTTGGTTTTTTTGATAGACGAAATATATGTTATGTGATGGAGGCAAATATAAAGTCAACACTCTCTATAACAAACAGTTGGTTATATCCAGAGTTCGTTATAGAGAGGTTTGTACGTTACTTAAGTTGGTTTTTTACTTTTTGATAGACGAAATATATGTTACGTGGTGGAGACAAATATAAAGTCAACACTCTCTATAACAAACAGTTGATTATATCCAGAGTTCGTTATAGAGAGGTTTGTTATAAAAAAAGTTGGCTGTAGATATTTTTTCTAAACATAACCTAAACAATTTAATCAAACTTATCGAAATTTTATAGCTAAAATTGGCGCAGTATTACTATTTGTTTTATATATGGCACTCCAAGTTACTTCTCATCAGATTACTTATAAAATTGGCGCCCTAATTATGAAAGTTAAAATAAAATTGGCGCCTTGATAACATATGGGCTAAATGACGAAATTGACAATCTTTTCAAAAGCTGTTTTTTACAAAAATTAATTTAAAATAAGTTAGAATCATTTTTCATTTAATACACAAAAGTAGTTGTGTTAATAAAATTTTGCAATATAGCTCCTTAACTGTTAAAGTTTGTAAGATTTTCGTCACCATATGTATATTAATACTTTGTAAATTGGCGTATTTGATGACAAGTAACTTGGAGCACCATAGAAGTATATTTCTGAACTTAAGAAAAGTTATATAATAAAGAATCAAAAAATATTTAAATACGTATTATAAAAAACGGATTTATACTGAAGTGAATGGTTTACGGCCATGTTCGATGATGTACAGTACGTTGAAAAAGGCGAGGCTAACTAACAATAACTAGTACTACTCAAAATATTACTCTAGCCCACAGTCAGACCACCTAAATGCACAACTAATATTACGCCTGTAGATTTTTACCTCCCTAAATGCAAATGCACGTTTTTACATATGGTCCCGTCGCATTGCATTTTAGAGAAGTCTGACTGTATCCAAGGACCCGTAAAATTTTCGAAAGAAATTTTTCGAAAGAAATTGAAATTTTTTGGTCAAATCGAAATTTTTTGAAATTTGGCCAAATTTGATCGAAATTTTTCGAAATTTTTGGCAAAATTGCTATTGGGCAAGATTAACAATAAAAAAAAAATTTTTTTTACGTTGAATCTAATTACCTGAATTAAAGTAATAATATAGTTTACCGGTACTCTTTATTTTTCTGGTCATCATAGTCTTTATAAAAAAGACAAATTTCCGATTATTTACCAGAAACTCATGAAATAATGACTTCTAAGTTGAAAAAAATTACCCCATATACCCGTCAAAAAGAATTTCCAAATACTTTTAACGTTTCTAATAATACATTAATATGTATTTACTGTGGACATTCAGTTACCTGGAAGTATAAAGTTAGCGTCACTAGCCATATTAATTCTCAAATCCATATAAAAAACAAAAAAAATTATGAAATATCTGCTCAAAATGGTCAGTTTCAAACTTTGGAGGATTCTTTATCCGCAGCAGAGTCTAAAAAAATAGTAGCGAAGGATCTTGTAGAAGCCTTTGTTAAGGCAAATATACCTTTAGAAAAAGTAGATGCATTGCAACCATTTTTTAGAAAGTATTGTAAAGAAGGAGTTTCAGTGCCGCAAGCTGATGCATTAAGGCGATATTATTTACCAGAAATTTACCAACAACATATTAATGAATTAAGAGAAGCTTTTCAAGAAAAGCCTGTGGCTATAATTGTAGATGAAACAACTGATAGTCGGGCCAGAAGTGTTGTAAATATTTTGTTTAATTACCGAAAGAACACTAAGCTTATAGTAGTAGATTACTTAAATTTGGTTAATAACATTACTATGGGTCAACTTATTGTCAAAACATTAACTGAATGGTTTATACCATTTAACTATCCACGTCTCTTGGTTTCTGATTCAGCTTCCTATATGAAAAAAAGTTATTGCGAGGTTCTTAAACCAATTTTACCACAGCTTATTCATTTACCTTGCCTTGCGCATATTCTTAATCTTATTGGGTATAATTTTTTTATTTTAGGTTTAATTTAATTATATTCTTATTTAATTATATTAATTTAATTAAAAAAACATTCGTATATACAAAAGCAAGACATACAAGATATGTCAAATTTTTAGCAAGAAATGGAGTTCAGAATTCAACAAATGTTCCTTTTTATGTAGATACAAGATGGAATACGTGGTTCCAAATGGCATTCTATGTAAATGATCATTATCAGCATATTCAAAACTTTTATTTTGAAGAACACTTAAATGATTCAGATGAGACGGTAGAAAAATTAACTATATTTTTTAATGATCCGTCCAATAATGGTTGTGTACAAATTTATCTTCTTTTTATTAAACTTTACACACAACAATTAATTAATGATTTGAATTTTTTTCAATATGAACATCGTCCTTTGTTTCCTTATGTTGAGGAACAGTTGAATCAATTAGAAGCTTATTTTAACAATAGCTTACAATTAGAAAATTTGGACAGATCTTTAATTTCTTTAATTCAAACTCTTAATTTTGATCCCAAAGCATTTTTACCTATATTTAGATCAGCTAACAATACTACTTTTAAAAAATTTGAAAATCATGTTTCAAATTATCCCTGTCATTCACTTTTTAAAGCAACCCAAATATTCAATCCAAAATTTATTAATCTTACCTCAACTAAAGACATTCTTTTTTATAGTGCTTCAATTTGTGAATTGTCCAATCCTTCGTATCAACTTATTCAAGAATGGGGCATATATTGTAATTTGGATCCACTTTCTGTAGAGTATTCGGATTTAGAAGAATTTTGACAAAAAAATTCTCAAAATTTATCACTTTTAAGCCAAATCGCTTTGGATTATATTTGGTTGCCAATTTCATCATGTAGTGTAGAACGTAGTTTTTCTGTTTATAACAACATTTTGAATGAAGATAGGGAAAATTTAAGTGAAAATTCTCTTTGAATACTTAATATTTTATATTATAATCGTTCAGATTTTCATTTTAAATAGAATAATTGAATTGGAATTTTGCTTAAACTAGTTAGATTTTTATTTCTAATTAGCTGAAATAAACTGAAACTGCTTATTGAAAACTCAAAATTTATTAAAATTTTTGCATAAATCAATCGAAATTTATCAAAATTTTGCATAAATCAATCGAAATTTATCGAAATTGTTGCATAAATCAATCGAAATTTTTGCTTTAAATTGAAATTATTTTTACGGGTCCTTGACTGTATCTAATTCTGAATCACAGGATCGAATCACTAAAACTTACTTATCAGTGAACAAAACACTTAGATAACTTGGTGCTTGAACTCTCTCGAGTTGATTCTTTATTGGAAGAGATCAATTAAGTTCACTAGTTCACTATACGCACTAAATTCACTATATTCACTTTGTGCACTAAATTCACTAAATTGAACATATTAGCAGCTTCTTTGAATTTTCCACGCAATCGTAGTTCTTTAGCTTCTTTAATATCTTCTTTTCACGCATATTTTATTATAAGCTTACCTTGTTTATCCTGTTTTAAATCAAAAGGATTCTTTTACACATCTCTTGTTTTTCTCTCGAGATAATGAAAATATATGGCATGATTGAACTTCTCATTGGTTTTTCCTTGATACAATAATTTAAATATACATCAGCTTATGCTGTACTTTTAACCAAATCTGTAAGTTGCAATTCATGTGTAAATATACAAAATTTTAACCAATTAGACAAGGAAAATTATATCAACGCAGCAACTATATGACTAATCACCTTTATTGGGGAACCGTTAAAGCCAGGTGCCATCATGAAATTTAATTAAAAAATTATTAACGTTAAGGTTAGGGTCCGGTTAGGCTAAGGTTGGAAAATTCTTATAGATAAAATTGTTCTCCCAACATTTTTTCTTATTAATAAATAAAGATATGTTTAGACATTCGTTTCTTGTATTTTTCACATTTTTTAGTAAACAAAAAATTTACAACTTTTATTGGTCACATAATATGGAAAATTTCATGATGACACCTGGCTTTAACGGAACCCTTCAGGGACACGGAAAAATTCTGGTTTGATTTACAAAAATTCATTGTGATTTGGCTAAAAAATCTGGGTTAAAATTTTTTATTTATTGTTAATGAATAGGAGCTCGGCGTACTACCGGTAGTACATTATACTACATTGTGACAGTTTTTAAAAACTTATATCTACTAATTTAAAAATTAAATATCTTTTTAAATACTTTTTTCAAGTATTTTAATTATATTTAATTATATTTATTTTATATTAATAGTTCTAAATATTTTTTTAGATTTTATATAATTTTTTTAAATTTAAAAAAATTTGTACAAAATTTACTATTAAAATTTTATATATAAAAAGTCAAATCTATTTTTTAAAATTTAAACTTAAATAACTTAAAACATATTAGTTTATATATATATATTCTTAATTAATTTTAATAAATTACAAAGTTTTTTACAACTTTTATTAAAAATTTAAATGAATTATTTAATAAAAATTTTTTAAAAAATTCTATTAAAACTTGAATAAACTCTATGTATTACTAAAAATAGCAATGATTTACAATTAATAGCTTATAATATATATATATATATATATTGGTATTAAGGTGACCTCTTTGGTCTGGGAAACTTTTTATTAGAGTATAGACGAAGTTTTATATGTAATTACAACGATGGTACATCAAGCCACACGTGCACTTTTTGAGTGCCTATTTAAGTAGTCCGCCCGAAGGTTCTACACTATCTGCCGTACCTGCACCCCAACTAGGGGGTACCCATTTAAACCATCTGGTTCTAACAACAGCTTATAATATTTTTACAATATAAATAATAATATTATTTAATAATAATAAAAGTTTATTATTTTTTTATATAATAATACTTTTAAATTATAAATTTTATTAATATTTTACAAGATATGAGATTTTAAAAAGTATACTACATGTAGTACGCCAAAAATTTCAAAAAATAAATTTTATTAAAAAATTTTTTTTTCAATAACTTAATTATTAATTTTAAAAAAAATTAAATAAAAATAAATTAGTAGATTAAATGGATTTTTTTATAAAATTTTTTTTGGAATTTATAATTTTTTAAATTTTTTATGAGTTTTAATAAATGTACTACCAGTAGTACAGAGGGTGCACTCCTATCCATTAATAATATTATATGCCATTATAATACAGTATCTAAAGTTGAAAACCTGCGAGTGAAAGCTTAGTTACATCATAGCAAATTTAACATCAGCAGAATTGTGTACATTCACGTTTTGATAGTATTTTGGTACAAACAATTAAATTTAATTCCACAATGTTATACTGAATAGCCTGGTTATGAGGTTGTCTAAAGCGGAGCAGAATCACGTAATATACGACCAATTAAATTATAGAATTTTGATGATCGCCGATGAAGCAAACCAAGAAAAAAAAGCGAAAAACTTGAAAATACAAAAAATAGCAGTCTAAACCTACCTAGGGTAAGCTAAGTAAAAATGTCGGGAAAGCAATTTTGCTTATACATAATTATCTAAAGCCTGCTCTAACTATAATCCAAGATGACCATAACCCTAAAGTTAATTTGATAAAATATATATTATAAGAATCTACTCCGCTTTAGACATCCCCCTGGTTACAGATTTATTTAACTAATAAACCTTAATGGAGTTCAAATATTGAATTTGAGATCACTAAATATAATATCAATTCTTCAGTGTTAAATTTGCTATTGTAAAAATTTAAATTATTACTACAGGTTTTGTGACTTTGAAAAATTTAATGCTTTAAGAATTATTTTTTATAATGACACCTTATATTTGGACTTTCTTAAGCCTCTTTATTATCACCGAAGCTCTCTACATAAATATTCAAAAGAACCTATTTTTCTATAGAATCGATATTATTTAATCCAAGATTTATTGTTGATTTGAACCAATCAAAATTAATATAAATCATGTGACTATCTCAACTCTAAAAATTCCATAAATTCCATAACAAAATTGTGGACCGGCAGAACTTCGATTGATTGGCTAACGGCCGAAGATCTTCAAAATTTTGGCCCACATTACAAAATTGTTTACTAATTTCCGGCCGGAATTAACTTTTTGATTTTTTCATTACAAAGGCCCAGGAACAATTTGCGGCTATGATTTTAATTCCAGCCTAATTTTTGATCGTCGCTCTTAGCCAATCAAAATCGAGAATCTGCCTGTAGCGGCAGCTATGCAACATGGTGAAATGACAAATTTGAGCGAAGATATCACGACATAGCCAAACTCGATGAACTTTTTTTTTATTTGAATTCTACAAGTATGTAGAATTCAAATAAAAAAGAGTTCTTGGTGGTTGTCGAGATATCTTCGCTCAAAGTTTGAAAAAAATTCAAAAAAACGTAAGATGCGCTAAAATTTTTTTAACTTTAGCGAAGATATCTCGACAACCACTAAACCAAATTTGATAAACCTTTTTTTATTTGAATTCCATATGTTCATAGAATTCGAATAAAAAGTTTTATCGAATCTGGCTTGGTGGTTGTCAAGATATCCCTGTTCAAAGTTAGAAAAATTTTAGCGCATTTATTTTGATAGACGTTTTTTTGAATTTTTTTTTAAACTTTGAGTGAAGATATCTTGACAACCACCAAGTCAAATTCGATGAACTTTTTTTTTTAAATTGAATTCTACAAATCTATAGAATTCGAATAAAAATTTTTTCAAGTTTGGTTTAGTGGTTTTCACTAAATTTTGTCATTTCGACATGTGAATCATTGGTGTGCCGATAAAGGAGATAAGTCACGTGGTTGCTGTGTCGGCATAATTCCCCATTAGACAAGCTTCTGTAGTGGCTTGGCTTAGTTCGAAGCCGTTTGCATCGCTAATTAAACCAATTTCAATTAAACATTATACAGTAAATATATAATAGAAATGATATATCACTGCCCACCTTGATTTCTGTTATATCCGTAGTTAACTGTAATATGTTATCTTTTCAATATATATATTTAAAAGTAATTACTTACTTTAGGCTTCTTTTCAAATATTAAAGGTTAGAAGGTTAGAATTCCGCTCTTCTCTTGCATAAGGTTATATATATGTCTTCTTTATTAACAAGTATATATAATATATATATTTTATACAATGAATATATATATATATAATACATATATAACATATATACCTAATTTTTTTTTTTTTGTGCACTACGTATAATAATGTAAATGTAGGCAGTGTAATAAAAGATTGATAAATTGTTTAAATCAGAAATTGGCATATAAATTTAATAAAAGATAAATTAAAGCGGCGTATATTGATTCCGAATTTGACGGGAATTAAAATAAATTAAAGTGGCATGAATGACATAATATTGATTCCGAAATTGACGGGAATTAAAATAAACGATGCATAAAAAAACTAACCTAAAAAAAAGAAGAGGGAAAGAAACGTACATTATCTCGCTTATTAGAATTCTATATCAGATATTATTAATAAGAATTTTCATTTATAAATATGTAATAATTTAAATGGTTTAACATTAATACGTACAAGTCAGGCTAATTTCATAACTGAAATGATATTGTAAAGTATTGAATAAAATCAATGATGGAATTCACAAATTAAAAAAAAAATTGATATTATTTTTGATGATTTAACAATTCCATTATTATTATAATTGCAAAAAAGTAACTCATAATACAATACAATAGTAATCATGTATGACCGTATAAAGAAAACTCCCGGTAGATTAAGGAGATTAAGAAGAAGAAAATGCATTATGACAAAATGTGGCATCATGATTTGAAACACATTTAACGCCAAAGGATTCATCAAGTTAAATTAAATATTTGGGACAATGTTCTATCGTCTTATCGAGAGATACAAAATAATCGGATTATTTATGAACATCTTTCCTATTTAAAAGAAAAAAAAAAGCTAAAAATTTTTTTTATGAATTGATTATTTTAATTGATAGCGATAGATAAATTAAAATTCATTTAATTTAATCAATATAAAATATAAGGCTTTAACAGTTTAGCGCATCACCTATTTTAAGTAATCCGTTATGCATCCCCTTTGTGCTGTACTTTAATAAAATAAAATACATGCATATTCATATTTTTAGAATCCAATTATGATTAACTATTTTTGATTTTATAATTTCTACGGTAATTTTCTTTGCATTTTGTCACGTGCTTAGTTGAAGTCGTGTTCCCACGACGCGTATTATGATGTATTAACGCTTAACAAAAATTTTGTTTATTTTTTTTATTTTTATTTTAAAATTTTCCTTGCCTTAAAAAGAATCTCTAACACCATTGAAAAGAAAAGTCACATGCCATATAAAAACAATTTGGCCAATATCGAGCTCAGAATTACTGTAAATGCCAAATGAACATATGAACTATGAACTATGAAATTGGGAAAAAAAAATGAACAAAAGATAAAATAAAATATTTACAAAGAAAGATTTGCATAAAAGTAAATTGCACTCTTAAAAACAGTGTGCTCAATATTATAACAAATTATAAAACAAAGAAAAACAAAAATGATGATAAAAAGGCTCGGCCAGAAACCGGAACCAAAATTGTATATTACACATCATTATGATGAAAAAAAAAAAAGTATGTATAATTGAAGCTTCGATACTCTATACATAGAAGACCATAAAAATGGTTATAAAAACAAGATGTATGCCAAAAATAAACTAGTTATATAACGGCCTTTCTAATAGACAAAAAATATATATAACATGTGTGGTGTAAGATTTGACTCTAAATTGATTGTTGAGTTTTGAGTTAGCCTAAAAAGAAAAAATCGCGAAGGAATTAATAAAATTCCCATCGATCCCATTGATCCCATCGTACGCATGAAGGAAGATAATCAGCACGAGAGATATTACCAATTTTTGTCAAAGAAAACTAAATTGTCAAAAATAATAAAATTAGTTATGAAATAACAATAAAAATTTTATTTATGTATTAAAGAAAAAAAGACTTACAAGAATTTCGAATAGACTAATTGGTTCATTAGCTTGTAAGACAGCTTCCCTGTTATTATCAGGCACCGATACTTCATTGGATTTTTCGATTTCAACTTGATCCGCATCCGTTTTCTTATTTCCAAAGAGATTCGGAAAGTTTTCTCCAAGCATTTTAGTAAGAAAATTAGGGGACTTATCAACTTTGACAATATTTTGATCCGATTTAGCGTTATCTAATTGCTTCAATAATTGAACGGAGGGACTATCATAGATAAAGTTATTATTATTGAGAGCGTTGCTTTCGTTGTTTTCTTCATTAGGAAGTGGTTTCGAAATTGGGGAAAACATGGCGAATCCTTGTTTATCAAAATCAATTTCCGAAAGTGAGGCAGTTGTTGGGAGTGAAAGCTTCTTAACAGGCTTCGGAGGCACTTTTGAATTGTTATTTTCGCACATTAAGGAATATTTCCATAAATTGGGTTTATAAACGCTTGATCGTTTCGAATTTTTTGTTGTGATATCTGAAGTCGAATAAGATGTCGGAGATGGAACATTACTGCTAACATATTCTCGATATTCTTTCAAGAATTTTTCAACGGTTGGAGAGATAGGTTCATCACTTTCGTCTGCTTCTGTTTGTAAAACGTCAGCCAAGAAGTCTAAGTAATCGTTTATATCGTTGTATATTCTTTTAGCGTTGTCTATCTCATCTACGTTGTTCGAAATTGAAGTTGTCATTTTTTTTGTTGTAATTTTTGTTGTAATATTCTATTTTGTATATAGTTTCGCGAGAACGTTAATTTTTAAGTGATGTTGTTTATTTACGTATTTTGATGATGGTGTATAGAAATTTATAAAATTTATAAAATTAGATCTGATGAAAATAAATCATTATTTATTTATTAACCCAGTAAAAAAAAAAATATATAAAAAAATTAAAATAATGATAATACTGTAATAAGAATGTGTATCTATATATCTAATGATATATCTAACGATATCGATATATTAATATATATATACAACTATATATAATATAATTAAAAGTATAATGGAAGGATTGTTTCGCATAACGAAAAATAAATGCTACGTTTATAAATCTTTTTTTTACATCACATAAAGAAAGGTATTGAGACAATGCTGTGCATAAGCACGCCTTAAAATTCTTTCAAAAAAGGGGGCTGATGTGGTCTTTTATGTAAATCCAAGGCTTAGTTAAATTTGGACAATGTTGATATGTTTTTTTCGTGTTATTTTGTTTTTGTAACGTACGTATCTATCAAAAAAAAAAACAAGATTCTTATCCCGTTTTTATCAATGTGTCACTAGTATTATTTTGATTTAATTTATAGATAATGCATATGGTCGACCTACCTTATAAACATATTGTTCTTTAAGCAACATAAATTATTTCGTTTATTAAATAAAAATCTATTTTATACACATATCAGATATAGATATTATATGTAACACCTATCGATAAAGAGATCGGAGAGGCTCGATCAACCATTACAAAAAAATCTTATAAAAGATTTACTTTATTGTCACACATCTGTTTTAACAAATATCTAACACCAATCTCCTTTGAATGAATTGGAAATTATCGTTATATCGACTTTAAAAAAATTGTTACCCTAAAAGGTCTTCATTGAGTCGTGATCAATACTTAATTTTTTGAAGACATCGACTGGGGTAGTTGTGAAACGTCATGTATATACGTTAAATATAGTAACAAATAACTTGCTTATCTGCAATATTACTGTATTTGAGTTAAAAAAAAACGAACCTAGATAAATTTCTATTTAGTACTGTAGTAAAGAATAATGATCTCCGGCTATCTCCCGCTTCTAAAACCAGTTCTTTAACTAGAACTTTTAAACGTGGTATTGATTTAACCATGTATGACGAATATCAAAGATCACGTGTAAAATTGCTTAATCTCTAGTTTTGGAATAGTAATTGCTTCTAGTGCTAGTCTTTTTTGTATAGCTGCGAAACTAAACATTAAAGTTAGAATGGTTCACGGAGATGGTAAGATGTACAAATCTGATACTCTTGCAAACCTCCGTAATAAACAATCCAACTATCTGCTATCCTAAACATTTATCGGATTACGTCTTTAAATTTTACTGAATAGATTTTTCCATTTATTCAAAGTAATTATTTTAAAATCTTTCTTTTAACCAGAACTTTCCGGACGAACAAAATGTAAATAACTGAAAATAGTTATTTTTGTATGGGAAATTTAAACAAAGAATATTTGACATCTAACATTTCATAGTGAATATCAAAAATAGCCTTTCTTTACGTACTCATTAAAATGTTTGTTTCATCCCCACTTACGTATTCACATTTTAATGTTACAAACTTTTAAAATAAAGTTTAGTTTCCCACCCTCTTCTATACTGTTATTGGTAAAGATTTCCATTTGTAAGGAGATTCTTATCTGTACATTTTATCTTTGGGCTGTTGAATTATACAGAATTATATAGAATTATATAGGATATATAGAATGTAAATGTATGCCGTATATTTAATCTCTGATTCAATACACACATAAAAAAAAAAAAAAAACCTGCTCAGGACTGACCAAGTACACAGTACATTCTGATTTTCTAATTGCCTAAAAAAATAAAAAAAACCTGTCTATTAAAGAAAACATGTAAGGGTTTTTTTAACTCTGAATAATTTGTACATAAAAACTCGAAATTTCAGGTTTTCATGCTGCAAACCCTAGTATCACATGACTTTGTGATTGCAAATTTCCAAGTCAATACAAACTTTAAATGTGTCATGTGTTTTTTTTATGCAGGCATCCGCGTGGAAATCCGATTTTAGGCTTAACAGGACTTGTGACCTTGTAACTTTGCGCTTATTTATTAAAATGGTCATTGTTTTTCTTGTGGCACTTTGAATTCTGTACGTATGCATTCTTATCATCCTTTTTTTTTCTCATTAAATTAAAAATTTTACAAGGTCAAGTCACGTAACGCATACATATTCATTGACACGTTTTATCTATTCATTTATGGTATAATTATACTTAAGTTTAAGTATGTATTTAACGAATATGTAATTTGCTAAAAACATAGATTTACCTGCTTATGTATGTACTATATAGTTTATGAATTTCAATTACTTCAATTCTAACAAGATTTGCCTCTGTACATCTGTACGGTAACCTAATTCCATTAAACCATAGTATGAAAAATTTTTTTTTTTAGAAATTAATTAAAAGTTTAATATTATTGTAATAAATTTGTTTTTGTATTTTGAATTATAAGATTTTCGATAGCATTTAGTACGAGAATTATATTTGTTATCATAATAAATTTATATACCAAAATCGGTTATTCTCTTTTTACAATCTTGTCTAAAATTAAAATAGATTCAAATTTTTTTAAAAAAGAGACGCATAACATTAAAACGCAATAATCTTAATTTACTAATCTGATTTCGATTTTATTACAGAATTATTTTTTTTTAAAAAAAAATTAACAACTTTGGAATTATTAAAATTTTATTACAAAATTATTTTTTTAAAAAAAAATTAAAATTTTATTACAAAATTATTTTTTTTTAAAAAAAAATTTAAAATCTTTTTTTATTACAAATTTTTAATTAAAAAAATTTTTAACAACTTTGGAATTATTAAAATTTTATTACAAAATTATTTTTTTAAAAAAAAAAATTAAAAACTTTTTTTATTACAAATTTATTAAATTAAAATTATTTATTATATAATTTTGCAAAAAAAAAAGATTAGTAATCTATTATAAAAAGATCTTTTAATAAAACTTTTTCTAATAATCATTTATATCAAAATTCTTTTTTTCTTTTTATATATTAAGGTAACTACTTAGGCTCTTGCTATTTTATTAGTACAATTAGGTTTAAGAAGACTGGCTATACATGTTATATTATATTGATATTACAAGAGTACAACTAGTCACATATACAACTTTTGGTTATCTAATTTAAGTAGTTTGCCCAAAGTATTAGTGCTATGCTAAGAGTTCTATATTAAGTATCATATCTATAGTCTAACTAGAAAACTATTTACTTTAAACTATCTGGCTTCAACTAACTTTACATGTTTTTTTCTAATATATCTCTATACAAGGAGTAATTTACTGAATAAGACCCTAAAACTTTAATTACCAATTTAATTTTGAGGCTTTTATCCTTGTAGTAAACCTAGCAAAATAGTGCATATTCTACATATATATTCATATATATATTTAATAACATCTTTCTTAACTAGTACCTGTTATACTACTATTACTAGATTCATATTTCAAGCCAATTTTTGAGGTGCTATTATAACCTAATCTGTATCTCAAACCACAACCTTTCTAATTAATCATCTATTACTTACTTCTACCCTTATCCCTTAATTGGTAGAGATTTGCAGACAAATTTGCCTGCATAATTACTATAAATATGTCTCTGATTTACTTTTTT